GCTACTTCACTACAGCAAGGCACCTAGCTGGAAAATGTGTTTACACTGTATCAGGAGCTATTTCAAAACAGGAAGTCAACAGACTCACTGACACTGGAGGGAGCCAAGGTCTGCACTACACAGAATTGGGGCATGGTAATTACCAACCATGAGCTGATTCGCTGCAGTTACAGGCACCTAATGGAGACTCAGGGCTGACTGCAAATAGTGCTTCCATACAGTAGGGGAAGTAGTACCTCAGAAGTACTCCAGAGTCAAGTTCACAAGGTGCCTTTGTTCAACACACAGATTCAGAGAACTGCTGGTGTTTCTGCCACACATTTGGTCCCAATAGCCTACTGTTACTGCTCCATGCTACCATAATTCATACTTTGATCAGGTGGCACTACTATCAAATTACTGGCAAGCTCAGATGAAACAACACTCCATACTGCAACAATCTCCACGTGTAACATTCGTGCAGAAGTATTTGATGCATTATGTAGATGCCTTGAAAGCATGAATCCAGTAAAGAAGCCTTAGCCATACCACATACAGCCAGGCCAATTAATGTTTTCCTTGAAAGACACCGGAAACAAAAGAACAAGCCAGCTGCTTTTAGAAGAACTGTACCTGATCACCTCTCCTCAATGTAATGCAACTAGTGAGCCCATTAAAGCAGGTAATGAGAAGATTCATGTAATAATGATGGTCAAAGGCAGGGAGGGGAGGGGGAGTAGAATGAGAACGAGAGATCTTATTCAAGAAACAGTTGTTTAGAAAAAAACTGTAAGGATGAAAGTTTGCACTTTGCCTTTTAATACAGTTTGAGTGAAAGACCAAAGATAAAAAGGAGCAATCACTTGGTGCCATTCAAGTTATCAACCAGAACCATGGCAGACTTGAGTTTATAAAATGTAATTCTAGAAATAACCTTGCACATACGTCCCCTAAAAGGTAAACCAAGCCACACGAAAGTGGCTAGAGGAAAGAGCGCATGTCCAAAGCATCACCTATCAGGTAGTGACAGACAATGCCACATTGTGTTACTGTTTTGCCTTGCTGAGGCATAAAATTCACTAAAAAATGAACTCTCTACACAAAGGCCATATAGTTCTGAAGCAAGATGCTATTACAAATTAATCCTCCACATATTTTTTTAAATTGGATTTTTAATGTTTACCATGCATACTTACATGTGAAGCTAGCACAATTTAGAACTGAGAGAAATATTCCACAAGTTTCTGTCATTGAACAGGTTTTATGAATCTATTATAGGTCAATGCAAAATTAGTTGAGAAAAGCTGTGTTAGGCTAATTATTTCCCCCCCCATCTGGGTCCAAAATACAGCATAGACTGATATGGGCTTATTAGTATTTGTATTCATCTGTATGCAGTAATACAGGTTCTTCAAGGCGAGCTGCATATGGACTTATTCTATTTTAGACTTCATATGAAAGTAGCTCTCAATTACTAGTTATCAATTTAGCCCACAAACCACTTGCACCCAACACCTGCTGCACAAGAGATTGCATAGCACTCACCACCACTCTTGAACCTCCCTCTGCTCTGCAGTCACCCAAGATTTCTCCGAGAATTCAGTGTTATTACTGACAAAATCAATATACTCAGCCATTTTCCACTATATTCCACTAGAAGACTCTTACACAACTGACACTAGTAAAATAATAATTTAAAAATGGACTCAAGGTTATTCCTCCACCTCAAGCTTGCCCCTGTGCAATGTCGTAACATTGTTCCTAGGCTGAAACAGGACACTGGAATACACTGTACCCGAGACTTGTCCTGAGACAGAAGCATCCTACGGCTAGGAACAGGCTCAGAGAGAAAGACAGAGCTTGTGATATGGCCATGGTAAGAATAATATACACCTGACAACCAAGCAGGATCCGTAAAGATACAGGCAGGAATTACAGAGAAGAGGCCAGTAAGTCTTGATCTCCATGAATTTACGGGTACCTAATCTTCCCCAAATTAACAGAGATTTCAGTTCTATCGCAACATACAGATCTTCTAATATGATGATTTAAATGCACCACCAGTTGACAGCAAAGCTATAAATCACCTCAGCTCAAGCTCTGCTACAGTTGCTACAATGCTACCTTACCATGGACAGGTGTGGATAACATTCACCATAAAACTGATTACTGCTGGCAGCTTTGGCAAACTCAACACCTATAAAGACACAATGTCCCCATTGCCCCACCTGCGGTGGCATCTGCTAACAAGTGCTGTTTAGCAGAGCTATGAAAGGCATTTATTTACAAGTATTTGGTTAAAGTACATTAAGGGTTTTGCCCATGGATATTTACCTGTCTTGGGAAGGAGATCTTGTCCAAAAATCATTTCTGCAAGAAATTTCTGCTGGCACCTTGAACACCACCACCCAAACTCTCAAACCAGAATGCAAGCTCCAGAAAGACAACTCCTGACTATACTGACAGATAAGCCTGGAATCTGATGCAATCTATCCCAAGACCATGCAAAGAGAAGTTGTTGTCTAGAAGAAAAAGTGGAAGTGAAAGCGAAGCATCAGTCCTGATCATTTATCTTACTACTGGTATTAGGTACAATGGCACTTTAGGTGAATGCAGACCAGCAGGCACTGTAAGCTGAAAAATTCCAACACTAATGCTAGCAGAAATAAACAAGAATCCTAGATCGATAAATGCTTGCAAATTAAACAGAGACTGTTTCCAGTGGTACCCACTTCTTTCCTCTGAGCTTAGCTGAAGCCGCACAGGTCAGGAAGACACTAATCGATATGCAACTTTCAAGACATGAAAAGTGACATATGCTGTTACCAGAACAACACAGAGGAACCAAAAAGCTGAAAAATTAGCACACTATCAGAACAGAAAGAGCTATGAAGTGAATCAATGAAAAAAAAGTGAAAAAGTCTCAATTTCTTTTTCTAAGCAAAAAATGTTTTGACTTTTGTCATCAGGAAACAGAATGCCTTCTTTATAGACAGATCATCTACTGCTGCCATAGTTTATCACAAACAAAAACACCTTGAAGTTTCTACATCTGTAACTAGCTAGTTTCACCGAGTGTAGTGGCAACATTACACTGACACAATGTCACTGAGGTAGGATTAAAGCTGTTTCTTTTCAAAATTTTGGTGGCTTCTATTCCACAGCTCATCTTTTGCATTTGCTGGAAATTGATGTTATGTAACAGGGCTCCCAAAGCATTTGCTAGGCGTCAGAGGTTTCCAGTTGTAACAAAGTGGAAAAAATTTCTAACCTATGGGCAGCAAAAGGAAGTGACAAAAATCACATCAATTTCACCTGTAACTTACTCAAAGAATAAAGCAGTAAAGAAGGAAAAGGTAACTGTTCACCCAATAAGGAAGGACCAAAACAACGATAAGCAGAAAATTCTCCAGTGAGAGTCAGCAACCTCAAAAAAATTTATATATGGAAAAGGCAAAAAGAGCAAACACTGACAGACTGTTCCAGAACACTGAGGGGAGGAAAGAGGATGGAAGGAGAAATTACCATCTCTAGCTGATCAGATCACATAGGAGGAAAAGGTGCAACAACAGATTAAGGTACTAAACCCTTGGTCACTAGGGATAAAACCGTGTTACACAGCAGAGCAGTGTTACACTGAGGACACAAACAGAATTTCAACTGCAGACACTGAGAGTAGAAGACAAAACATGTCTAATAAATCTTCCCTGTTCACACAAGTATTTCAAATCAAAATCGAACATTAAAAAAAAAAAACCCACAACAAAATGCAAAACCAAAAACAAATTCACACACACCAAAAAAAAAAAAAACAAACCAACAAAAAAGAACGCTTACCCACGTATCGCTTTCCTGTTCTGTACTTCACCTGGATTAAGCTCAACTGGTGGCATAAAGACACAGGAAGTAATTTCCTCAAATAAGATACTGCCCATATCACCAAAGCTGCACTTAGCTGTTACGCGCGTAACACATGCCACTACCCTTCTGCTGGAGCGACATACTGAACAGGCACAGCTGCTGCCAGCAGCCTTGTCTTGCTTTCTTCTTCTGCGCTTGTTTCCCATTGTCTTAGTTCCTGCAAAAACTAGTGGCTAACCTCTGAACTGTAACTTGAAGGAATAAAGGCAAAACAGATCTGCATTCTTTCTTTACATTTAAGCAAGGTTTTAATCTTTACTGTTAACAAAAGAATATAAAATATTACTTTTGATTTAAACGAAAAAAAATAGTGATTCTATCAGAGAGATCACTGTGACTTTTAATGTCAGACTTTTGAGTTCTTTCATTTACCTGAAGTCTCACTGCTGTACTAAAGACAGTTTCATTTGTTTTGTTTCCCCAAAAATAACCACAGTGCAAGCACAGATAAGCCATTTTACTTCCTATAATTCTGTGTGTGTGGTCTATTACTATAAGAAAACAAAGCTATTTATACACAGCAGAATTCTGCTCTTCTGCACAGCATACCATGTGCTCTCGGAACTACTTTATTTTCACTGTGGTTGAACATTCCTTATTAGCACACTACCATGATACACAGCATTTAAATTTCTCTCCCACACACAGATGACGGAAAGGGAAAAACTAAAGAACTCCTTCGTTTAACCATAGGGTGATGTCAGGTATCAACCAGTTACGATCCCAAAGCAAGGCTTAACAAAAGGGAACGCCGCAACATAAAGTCAGCGTTCCTCCAAGTCTACCTGTTGATGCCACCGTTGAGGTCTGCCCTCGAACTCCCCGTCAGTTCCCACCCGACCTCGGCACCGTCAAGCCCCGCTCTCCCGCTCCGCTCCTGCGCCGGAATCCCCGCCAGCCCCTCGCTCGAGGCCCCGCGCCCGGGTCAAGCCGGGCCATTCAGGCGGCAGCGCCGCCCAGAGGCGGCACCGCTCGCCCACCGCCCCACAGGCCCAGCAGCCCTGGCACACCCCCCCCCGGCAGCACCGCGCCGAAGAGGGGGGTGGGCGCCCGCGCCGGCACTGCCGCCCTCCCCTCCGCCATCAGCACGCCCTGCTCACCTTGGGGAAGGTGCCCTCCCGCCGCGGGCTCTTCGGGTGGTCGAAGTGGCCGCGGTCCAGCATCAGGTAGAGGGAGAAGATCACCACGCAGAAAACTGCGCTGCCGAACACCGTGAACTGCCGGCTCAGCTTCATCGGCACGGCCGCCCGCCCGACCCAGCTGCTCCCGGGCCACAGTCGCCGCTCCGCGCTCGAGGGTTGGAAGGGGGGGAGAAGGGGGTGGAACTTCTCCCGCTGCGGCGGCCCACGGCACGGAGTGGCCCCGAGTCTTCTCCGGAGAAGTGCGAGAAGTTGCCCCCACCGCCCCGCCGACACCTCGCCGCCGCGCCGAGAGACGAGCACAGAGTTTCCGGCGGCGGATCAGGTTCGCGGGTAGGCTGACGCCCAGCAGGGAAGTGGCGGCGACAAGAGGCAGCAGCGCTGTGGGGCCGACCGAGCACCTCGGCTCCCGGCTTCCTTCTTGCTCCTCGTTCTCCTCCCGCGGCTGCCCCACCCGCGCACACGCTGCTGCCGCCCCTGATGCACCGCGGGCCGCTAGAGCGCCCAACAAGCCTCCCCGCGCCACTGCCGGGCCCGCCGCCGACTGGACCGCCGTGCCCCGCGCCCGGGCTCAGGGGCGGTGCCTAGCGCGTGTCATTGGCGCCCAGCCCCGCCTTACCCTCTTCCTCCCCAAAGGGACCGCGCCGCCGCAGTGTTCTAAGGGGAGCGCGGTCGCCGCTGTGGTCGCCTCCGGGACCAGCAGCATCTTCCTGCGGCGAGGAGCGGCCTGCTGTCCAGAGGTGCCGCGTAGCGGTCTCCCCGAGATTGCCGCCGCTCCGCCTGGGGGCGGTGTGTGGCAGCCTGCGCCGGGAAACACGAGGCGGCTCGGGGGGGAGGTGAGAGGGCTGAGGTGGCCCTCCGCCGGCCTTCCCTGCCCTTGCCGTTTCCTTCGGCGGAGTGGGGAGAGGAGACGGGAGGTGTGAAGAGACCACCGGCCCCGAGTGAGGCCCAGCGTCCCCGTGGCGTGTGGCAAAGAGCCGTTGCACCAGCCCTATCCCACCTTTCCGTGCCAGCCCTGTGTCTCCGCTAACAGCATCAGATGCAGTGGCTGGCTGCTGTCAGGCCCCAGCTTGGGTCTAGCTGTTCTGTGTCCAAACAAATCATAGGCTTTGCAAGAAGCACCGAGCGTGCCCGCAGGAGTGAGTCATGGCTGTAGCAGGCTGGCAGAGGTCCTGCCATTTGGTCTGCCTCACACTCCACAGCAATTTAGCCCCTTCTAGTTTTCAGAGGTTGAATCTGCCCAGGTTTGAAAACGGTCATGCCATGATATCTTACTTCAGATGCATTGACTACTACTGTGAGCACGCTGAACGTATCTTTTACCACTGTTGGTGTGCTTTCTTAAAGCGTGTCATTGAGACATACCCCTGCGACTTGAAGTCAGGATGTATGTGTTAGCATCACTACTTTCTTTTCTCCTCACATGAAATCCCCCAAAAAGTCGGTAAGACTGTAATAACACAGGAAAATTCAGCCCATGAAGTACAGTAGACTGTTGCAGGAGCCAAGATCATTGCAAAGATTTTCCATCTTTGGACCTTTGCCCAGTATCTTGCAGAACCTGCTCGTTCCAGTATCTTACAGAGCCTACTTGAGGTCTTGATTATTTGTAACTTCTCCCTCCATTTCTCCCACTGGGCAAAAACTTCCGCATGTCTAATTCTGGCTTGGAAAGGTGGTGCAGGACTCCTGCAGTTTCTGGGGATGGACGTTAGGAGCTACTATGGAGGGCATTGCTGACAGCTGAGAAACCACCTCTCATCCATGGTGCGCTGCTGTACGTACTGACTGCCTCTAATTCATTTTTTTAACACAGGGGAATGAGAAAGAGCAGTTGAAAAATCATCTGAGCAGTGGGGACTATACAGGAAGTAACCTGGGGAAGAACAAAAAAATGGGGGCTGGTGTAGGAGCAGAAAGGGACTGTCAACCAGCAAAAGCTAGGAATAAAACATGAAGTAGGTTAGGGTAAAGAATGCCAACACTTGGTGCAAGGCAAAATACAGGAAAGATGCAGATGGCCCTGTACAGAATCTAGGGTAAAACCCAGGAGTTTTAAAACTTGGCATTACAGTGCTGTTCAGCAAAAAGCTGCACACTCAAGGATCTCACCATTTCATATTTACTCTATTCCCCCTCTAGTGGCTGATTCCCACAGAAAATGCAATGCTTCTTACACCATTTGTTCTGTTAATGTAGTTAATTTGTTCTGTTAATGTGAATCAAAAAATCCAGATTTGCCATAATCTACATAAGATGTAATTTCCAAATTTCTTTTTCTTAAGGGGGAAATTATGTTTAAATCTACAATAAACTAACACTTAGATTATAAAAAAAGGCTTCAGGATTTGGGATACGTATTATTAAGGTTGATTCTTAAAGCCTTTGTTCTTTCTTTTTTTTTTTTCATGGAATATTTGGTTGATTCATTGAACAGAGTAGTAGGGTGCCTGGAGGGAAAAAACAGGACTATGAACAAACCAGTCCTCTGCAGACCTTCTGTCTTGCTTCTTAAAAAAAGTCAAAAACTGATGGATGAGGCAAGTACCATAGAGAGACAGTAGTGGTCAGGTGGCTAGGAGAACAAATGTTGCCACAGACCATCAGACCCTGTTCTCCTTGCTGTTAGAGGGTTTCTGGGTGATACTAAGTCATTCACTGAAATACCTGCAGAAAGCCGAAATGAATTTTTTGCTTTCTGGGCTCCTTCTCAAGACACATGTGATTTAACTTGCAGAAATATGCAGAACTGGTATTTGCAACTGAGGCCAATGAAAGCAATGAGCTTAGACCTTCCCTCACAAGGATCCTTTACACAAAAAAACTGTACTGTTTGTAATTAATAAACTAATTTCTTAGAACATCATTGAACTGTAAGGAAATTAACTGTTCTTCTGTTGGTTCACTGTTTCAGTGGTGTATATGGAGTAGCATGAGAGGTCACAACTTAGGATTACAATAAAACTGTATTTTGGATCATAGTAGTTTCAGAATCATAGTAAAGCAGTGAAGAAACCTGGGCCCAAACTCAGAGTGGTATTTGGTCTTGCACTTTAAAGCTGCATCATGATGTGTATTTGTTTGAGGGGGCAAATACAGGTTTCTATAAAACTGTGTCATGATATATATATATATGGACCAATTTGGGTTTTGTAGGCAACATTGTGACATGTTGTTTTCACAGGTTCTGATTGTGTGACTCTTCCTATTATTGTGGTCACAAATTTTTTTTAGGTGACACTTAAGATTAGACAATACCTGTTTAGATACAGGCTTAGTTCTGTTGCATTAGATACATGTAGTACTCTATCTTCTAGGATACACTATAGAAGGTGGACATGGCAAAGTTGCCAACATTTTTTATTGTTATGTGTCAAGAATTTCATTTTGTGATGAATGCAATCTTCTTGTTTTACCTTCAGTATTATGACTATGTTTTTGTTGCCCATTTAGGGTTAGATGGTGTCCTGGGTTCAGCAGTAGCTGAAGGACAGATGGGAACCTGAGTACTGTGGCTGAGACAAACTTATGCAGAAGTGCAGTACCAGATCTGTAGTCATATGAAGAAGTTTCATCTTAAATACAGACATGTCTTAAGCTGAGTAGATTTTCTTTTAGATCTCAGTTTTGGATTTGGGCACTTAAAGTTTGTCTAATCCCTTCCTTAGATGACAAATTATTTTTCTGGATCTAGCCTCTAATAGCAAACAGAGGAAACTAGGTTTTCCATAGTTACTTCCTTAGTGACCAGGCTGCTGTTATCTAAATTACATTTTCTATTACAGACTACAGAAACCTTATCTCTAGCTGTTAAGGAACTGTACAGTCAAGTAAACTCCGTAAGTGAAGGAATCTACCATCCAAACAAGGAAGAAAATACAGAAATATTGTATGGGTCTAATGTTTACCATTTTCCAACTGCATGCTACTCGTAAGAGTGCATAAATATACAATTATTGTTATTAATAATATTGTAAAAAAAAAATCTAAAAATATTTACTGGCAAGGGTTTGTTTCCACACCAGGTCAATGAATGTTAAATAATGAGATTGAGAAATACTATGTCTGTTTTAAAATTTATATAACTTCTATGTACATAAATATGCATTTAGTTCTTAGGGACAAATTATTTTGGTCAGGGTATTGTAAATTTATTGTCATGATATAAAACCATTACTATTGGATTGGACAAGTCATCGATAGTTGCTTATCTGAAAACTGTAACTAGCCTCAGAAATTTTGTAGTGATATAAGAATTTGGCAAACTTTGCAGTTCATCTTCAAGAAACAGGTTTTTCTCATTTTATTCTTGAATTAAATGCTTACACATTAATGTCCCATCTTTTGTAGCAACAGTTGCAATATGAGAAAAGGAGACAGTTTCTTAGGTCCATAACATACGGTATTTGATAGGTAGTTGTATTTGTGAGTATGTTAGAGAGGGGTAGAATATTTTTCATTTGCCTGAGATATTTCTTAATGGAAATGGAACTCAGTGTGTTCCACTGAGTATTGAAAAACAGTTGTGGTTATTCAGAAATTTTTATTTCTTCTGAGGTTCCTTTGTATACTAAGCTTTTTGTGAGTGTTTTTTTAATTATACAAAAATGACTGAGGTAATAGCACATGCATATATACATGATATTAGAATGGGGAGAACTTGCAAGGTATAGTAATTATGAGTAGTACATTTTGATGTACATTCTTATAGGACAAGTTAGAACTACAGGATCCCTTTCACCAAGTGCTGACTGACACCCCCTTACAATCTTTTTCATGAGCCATATGTCTTAAGCTGTGTAAAGGATGTTTGCCTTGAACGTAATTTTTCATAATGGATGGCCTGTTTTCCCACCATCTGTAACAAAGCCCTTTTCTGTTGGAGAACCTTGAACTGAACAGTCTTGCCTTAATCTTAGATTGGCTGGGTCAAAACAGCTGGATTTTGAGAAGCACAACAAATGTTAATTTAATGAGAATGGCATGACAAAAATAAAAAGATATCTTCAGTAGTCTGAAAGTAAGCTGTGACAAGCCACATGTTGTTAACTGGCTGAATGTGTGTAAAAGCACATGAAAGTTTACTGAAATTATTACAGAACAATCATTTCTATAACAAGAAGCACTCAAATCAAAGTTTTGAATAACAAAAAAAAAAAAATTGGTGTTGGACAAGCTTGTTTGTTCATGATGCATCTAGCCATTACACAATGCATCAATGTATTTTTACAAAGCAAAAGAATGCTTTCTTTGCTGAATGCTATCAGATACCGGGTTTTTACTTGTACTCATTCATGTCTGTAATTATATGGACATTTTCTAAAAAAAGAACAAAAACACAAGAAAAAATGAGCAGTGAATGTTTTATTCTCAAAATAAAAGTTGACTCTTTCAGTGTTCAACACAAAGCAAAGGTACAGCACAGAGAGAAAAGCCTTTATCGTAAGCAATGCAACACTGGCTAAAAGCATAGGCTAAAAGTAAATCATAGGCTGAACTAAGGAAAGGAAATACGAACATTGTAGAATGAAACATTTGGTGTCATTCCATTCTCAATAAAAACAGTGATCAGAGTTATTATGTAATACTAGAGTTACATCTCATCTCCAAACAAGGTATAGCCAGTTTTCTGCACCTCCAAGCATCCTAAATGTAATAACGCCATCTCTAGGAAGCATAATAGCAAGGCAGTATTTAATCAAAAAATATGGTATTATCCTAGTTATTGTTAGAGTTATTCACAACTGGGAAACCATTCTGGGAAATGTAAATCTTTAAATGCAAACATAGTTTAAGGGGAATAAACTAATGGGTGGAGATAAGGTTCTGCATTAGTAATATCAAAGTAAAAAGCAATGTCTCAGATATGTTGTAAGAAGTCACAGAGTAATATCAGTTTAGATTTTTAATGAACTAGTTTCTAATAAATATTAAAAAGTAAACAGTAATGAAAATGTTCATCAGAGCGACAAATGTTATACTTGTTAAAAAGGCCTGTTACAAGTGTAAAATTAGTACTACTTCAGAAAGTCTGTTTTATGATTATAAGTTTAGTAACAGAAATAAATGTAAACCAAGCTTAGCTTATGTTTTGCTGTGATACATTTCTATAAAATATTACCTTGACTATATGACTTAGCCTCTACAGTACAAAAAATGGGTCAAATATCAGTCATCTATATTCATACAAAGATTAAATGTATTAGAGACATGTTTCATTCTTTCTGAACTTTTAACAGGGGCAAAAAACTTATGATTATGGAACATCACTAATGCTCTTATGAAGTACATGATTTGAATCCACAAGTTTTAAACCATGTGCTATAAGGAAGAAGCTGAGCGCATCTACAATGCTCTCACATTATGCAGTAATGGCCTAAGCAGCCACAATAGTCAGAAGGACATTTGGTAGTGAATATTTTGCTGTGCTTTGGAGCAATGCCTCAGAGTGTATGCGACTATATGGGAATGTGTTATTTCATGTCCCAGCTTGACAGAAAATAACTATTCATTTCTACAGAAGTTCTAAATCTTTATTTGAACAGGTAACTCACTGTAACTTCAAATGCAAACATCCCTAACAATGTTGGACATTTCTAATGTTTGGTATGAAAACTAATTAAATCACAGCGTATATTTGCAATTTTCCTTTTCTTGGAAAAATGTTGACAATGTGGAACAAAATTTGTGTGAGTCTATTGTTGCTTACTGCCTTTTAAATATAAAGCTTTGAAATTGCAGGCACAAAGTGTGCTGTATTTTCAGATGTATTCTGGTTCTTATTTTTTCCTTTGATCCCTTTTCAATTCAGATGAAAAGTAAAACATGAAAAGAATATTACAAATCAACTTCATCTTTTGAAAAATACCTTTTTTCTGTTGACTGATGCAATTGACTATTGGCAAGAAGTTTGTAAAAAATTGTCCTTAATGTGTGAGCCTCTGTAAAAAGCAACCAAAAAGAAAAAAAATGTCTAGGCAGCCCAACTCTGAAGAGCCCATAAGTTATTAAAAGCAGAAGACAAAATTGGATAAAGAGTAACAATCATCACAGGAGTACAGATTCACCAGTTACATTTCTTTAATCAAAACTAACCCTTTTGGCTTTTCTAAATTTCCGTAAGAAACCCTAAAATAGCTACCTTTTATGCTGCCCACGCATGTATCTCACACATGTGCTAAAGGTTAATTCTGACTGCACAAAGCTAACAATATTACACTTCCCAAAGTGATAGACAGTATGCCCCAGCTGTCCCAGGCATGCCCCGTGGAAGTGCAGTGTGTTCCTTGGCTGGGAAAAGGCAAACAGCCTGGGCTGTTTGGTGTTGAAGGAGGTAGTGGCAGCTGCTCAGCTGGTTGAGACTTCAACAGAAACTTTTGCAGTGAATGTGTGTGCGGTATGAAGGAGTGGACGCCTAATCAAAAATACTGTAGGGGAAAAAATGAACAAGATGAGAATTTTGTTATATATTGGAAAACAGAAAGAATGTCCATTACATGTCAAGTACCTTTGAACTTCCACCAGTCCATTTTTGTGCTTTTACTGATGTGCCCCATATCCAACACTGTCAGCAAGGCGATCGATGCCTTACTAAGGCCTCCTGGGCAGCAATACCCCGTGCAAGAACTCTAAAGGATTTTGAAGTGTTAACCAAAAAAACAAAACAAAACAAACCAAACAAACAAAACAAAAAAACCTAATCAACCAAAAAACCCAGGAAAAAAAGGGAAGATTTTTACATGCTGTAACATGTTGCAACAAGCTTGTATGAACCTTGCAGAACATGACCTAAATTGTAGAGAGGTTGCCTACTTGGTTACGCTACTTCATGGCGCAATTTAGAAAGCAAAACAAAGAAATATGTTAGCACTATTTATACAGTTCTGGTGAGGATGGCCCCACAGTTCCTGTGGGAGACGCATGAAAGAAAATTTTGTGACATGCTGTCTTACAGTTACAGCATATTAGAAAGGCAGGAAGAAAAGGAGAAGCTCTTCTATTGGCAGCAAAACAAATAAGACTTAGTTTCCTGTCATTTTGCTCCCTTTTCTTTACTTTGTTGTAATTTAATACAGGACAAGCACCATTTTCCTCAATGGTGGCATTTATTGGCTTATCTTCCCTCAGGAAACCTTATTTAGGTTTAAATAGGAGTTAAGCTAATTGTGAAACTTCTCCATTTAGGAATTAATCAGATGTCTGTCTTCTAGATGATTGCCCATTCTTACTAATTCTGTAAGACTCTTAACATCTTTGTTACCACTGTTTTTCTGTAATATTTGATTGATATACCTTTAAAACTTACAGAAGAGAGGACACAGGAGTCTTCTTATTAAAGAATTTTTTTTCCTCATTAAATAAGGAACAGTGCTGAGATTTTTGATAAAATATTGTTTTTTGACATATAAGGATTAAATAATAAATGCAGTGCCCTCCACAACCACAGCACAGAAGACTGGAAACTAGTGGTGATAGAAATGTGTGCTATCAAATATTGCAACTGGTCCTCAGACTCAATGCCACTGGTCCTAAGACATCTGTCAAATGACATTAAACAGGAATCACTAAGTAGTTGTGATAACATCCTGACATTGTATCTTGGCTTTTCTGTTAATGATGTTGCATTCCTACAGTTAATTATTAATTAGCTCCTTAGCTCTTTCATCTTTCTTTCTGCTGTGAGGAAAAATGTGTGAATGATAGGGAAGATATTTCCCAGTCTCCTCTCTGTTGGAGGCAACAAGGGGAGGAGTGACTTCTATAGCTTTTTCTTCACAGCATGCTGACTGCATCACAAGCAGTCATATGCTTGTCAACATGACCATGTCTGCTCCATAACCACATTGCCAATGTCAGCAAGATACAAGACTCAATTGGCACTCTCTGTGGTGATGACAAGTAATACAGGTGTCTGATCTGCATACAGAAATTCAGTGTCATTTTATTCTTGCTTTTATAAAGGCTAGATTAATTTGCCTGTTATGCTTATCATAGAATCGTAGAAGAGTTAGGGTTGAAAAGTACCTTAAGATCATCTAGTTCCAATCCCCCTGCCATGGGCAGGGACACCTCACACTAAACCATATCACCCAAAGCCTTCGTCCAACCTGGTCTTGAACACTTCCAGGGATGGAGCATTCACAACCTCCCTGCGCAACCCATTCCAGTGCCTCACCACCCTAACAGGAAAGAATTTCTTTCTTATATCCAATCTAAACTTCCCGTTTAAGTTTTAACACGTTACACTTTGTCCTATCACTACAGTCCCTAATGAAGAGTCAATCCCCATACTGGATAGATACTGGAAGGCTGCTATGGTCTCCATATACTGGATATACTGGAAGGCTGCTATGAGGTCTCCACGCAGCCTTCTCTTCTCCAGGCTGAACAGCCCCAGCTTTCTCAGCCTGTCTTCATACGAGAGGTGCTCCAGTCCCCTCATCATCCTTGTGGCCCTCCTCTGGACTTGTTCCAACAGTTCCATGTCCTTTTTATGTTGAGGACACCAGAACTACACACAATACTCCAGGTGAGGTCTCATGAGAGCAAAGTTGAGGGGCAGGATCACCTCCTTCAACCTGCTGGTCACGTTTCTTTTGATGAAGCCCAGGATACGGTTGGCTTTCTGGGCTGCAAGCGCACACTGAAGCCGGCTCATGTTCATTTTCTCATTGACCAATACCTCCAAGCCCTTCTCTGCAGGGCTGCTCTGAATCTCTTCTCTGCCCAACCTGTAGCTGTGCTGGGGATTGCTCTGACCCAGGTGTAGGACCTTGCACTTGTCATGGTTAAACTTCATAAGGTTGGCATCAGCCCACCTCATAAGCGTGTTGAGGTCCCTCTGGATGGCATTCCTTCCCTCCAGCATATCAATTGAACCACACAACTTGGTGTCATTGGCAGACTTGCAGAGGGCGCACTCAATCCCACTGTCCATGTCAGTGGTGAAGATGTTGAGCCAGACCGGTCCCAACACCGATCCCTGAGGAGCACCTCTCGTTACTGGTCTCCAGCTGGACACTGAGCCATTGAACATAACTCTTTGTGTGTGGCCATCCAGCTAGTTCTTTATCCACCAAGTGGTCCACCTATCAAATTGATGTCTCTCCAATTTAGAGACAAGGATGTCATGTGGGACAGTGTCAAACGCTTCGCACAAGTCCAGGTAGATGACATCAACTGCTTTACCCCTGTCCATCAGTTCCGTAGCCCCATCATAGATGACCACCAAATTGGTCAGGCAGGATTTCCTCTTAGTGAAGCCATACTTGCTGTCACCAAGCACCTTGTTGCTGTCTTGAAGCCCCAGCTTAGTGTATACTGGCAAATGAGACTTC